TAAGTTTTCGTGAGTAAGGGCCCTGGTTTGCACTTTTGTTTGAGAGAACAAATATTAGCCTATATCTTGTCACCAGATCGAATAATTAGTCCAGATACAGAAAAATATTCATTGAATAGTATGGCATTTAAACTCAGTGATTGCTGAATCTATAAACTACGATCGTTGACAATTGTTTTCATCTAGAGCTTCTCAAAGCAATGATTAAATCAATCTAGACTCACTCGTATATGGAGATTTATTTATGCACCGAAGGTGAGACTGGTTAATCTAATCACGTTTATAGCTTGATCGTCAAGCACTTCATAAAGACTACTTAGTAGTAATTGAACATAGGAAACATGATATATTTTCTAATAAATTGTTTCTGTGAAAATAATGGTTTTGATTTACTTGGTAGATGGCGGTAGTCAGGTGGTTCGGTTGTTTACACCCGACCAGAATGTCCACATGGACCTGAAAGGAATCTTCAGGATTTAGAAATGAAATGAAAAATTGTTTGATACGTCAACACCAACCTGGCTATATGGCACCAGACATGGCGTTCAGGTCTTTGATGTTTGGTTCCACTGATCCACTGACAAAAGTAGCATGCACTTTCATTCAAAAGCCCCCCCCCCCCATCCCCGACCCGCTCCCGACCCGACCGTCACGATTGCCCCGTGTACAATTATAGTTCATCCCCTTAAATATCCCATTTTCAGCATTATTTATACTTTCGTATTTGCATGGTATCCAAATGAAAAGTACTGTGAATACCCCCCCCCCCCCGCCTTTCTCAATAAAGAAATTATAAAATGTCATCAGTTCCGTGAAGCCCAAAACTTGAATCTGCCATAACTCTGACAATCGTTGTCCGAGATTTTCAAGTTTTGGAGTATAATCAGACATGTCCCATGAAATTCTTGCTAATTAATCACCCCAACCACTTTTCGCAGTAATGAAATTATAAAATGACACCAGTGCTGTTTTTTTCCCGCTCAATAAAATGTGTTGATATATTGACTGAGTCATTAACTTTATTTCTATATAATAATACGCGAAATGTGGAAGAATAATTTCCGATGACATCATAACTTTGCGGCTTCATTACGTTTTAATCGGATGTTGAGTAACTCCAATGAGATTCCAATAAAATAAATGTGTATTATTATGGCTGCCATTATCATTAGTCACGTGCAGAAATCAAAGTGTCAATTCGCTTACAATAATATTCATTATAAATGTTATATCAGTTTAATCCGAGTATTAGTAGTATTAATGGTAGTAGTAGTATTAGTAGTAGAATAGAAGTATTTGTAGTAGTAGTAGTAATAGTAGTAGTAGTAGTAATAGTAGTAGTAGTAGTAGTAGAACGAGTAGCACTATTAGAAGTAGTCGTAGTTTTTGTGGTTTTGTGATATTTCCTGGAACTGGATTGACAAATGGCGGTTGTTAAATATGTACAAACCACCACAGAGTGCATGTACATACTATAGATCCGGAAAGGTATTTCTAGGGGTCCAACAGGTGCTCGCAGCCACGCTCTTACCTATGACCATTCCAGTACTAGCCCTTCAATTCAGCAACAGTTGACTTCTGTTGTTGCATTGTCTCTTTAAATTCCACCTGGAATTATTGAAGAGCAATAATGAAGTCTGTAGACAATAGATTTTATAATAAAACGGTGATGCATCAGGTAATACCTTGTGTCATAACTCATTCTTACATCTCCATGGGGGAGTCCGTATCATATTGCCCCGTAGCTAACAGCCCTAAAGTAAGCTTTACTCTTGATTGATCGTTGACACTTAATGTCGATTCAGAAATTATTAAATGACACATGAGTTGATACAAATGAAAATGGGTTTATCATTTCAGCACCCACCAGGCTAATGCATATGGGTAGAGTGCTGATACAAAATTTGTAAAAAAGACATATTTAATACTAGCGTTAATGGTGTACGACATTATTAATCTAAACTATATAATAACGTATGCATCAGTTTCAAAAGCGTTGATTTCGAAAATCGCTAGTAGGCGTAACTAATGAAAATTATTTGAGAAGCTAAATTTTATTGTTCTTTTGAGCGAGTTCAGTCAAATTTAATTGTATGGTAAAATATCGTGTCCACGAAGCCACGCACTTAAATGAAAAAAAAAAACATGTTTGCATGGGCAATTGAACAGCTTCCGATCATAGCTACGACCAGGGCCCCGCCCCCGCCCTTTCTTTGTTTCTTTCCAGCACTAGCCATAATCTAGATGATTCACTAGCAGATTGCGATAAAGCGAAGACTTTTGTACATACATTTTATAATCTTCAAAGGAACAATAAAACAATCATGCATAATTACCCATTACATAATTACCCTGGTGGGCCCGGCTGCACCCCGACTCTCGTGAGGACTGGCTAAGATCAACGTGTTTAGCAAGGTGTCGTAGCTAGGTAATATTATGTTATGTTGTAAACTTTTGACTGAACTGATCTACGCTTGTAGTACTGTCTATAATCAATTGGTTTTGATATCGAAAATAGAATATTGTTTGAACAATGTCGTTTAAAACAACTATTAATGTTCATTTTTGTCAAACATCAAAGAAAAAACCTGTAATAATTACAACATAATCATATATTTACCAGCCTTATTGGAATGAAAAAACAGGTTTTTTTGTCGGTTATAATATTTGTTGGAATTATTATTATATAATTTCTGAATTCATCCGTACAAGACGTGAAGCAACAGAGTTTGTTTGTCCAATCAATAACACTCTTTCATCTGTGTGTCGGCCATCGTGTTCGTCTGATTGTTCAATTTGCGAAATATCGGGTTGTAATTCGAGTGTAAACATTAAAATATTTATAATTCATAAAACTCTTCTAGGTTTTTATGCGGCAGATCACGCAGTTTAATGTACACAATGTGAGAATACATTGTCGAAACACGTGATGGACCTAATCATTGTCGGAAACACATTTTTACGTGTATATTTTGTGAAACACTAACGTGCCAGAAATAAAGGTTAAATATGAAGTATTTAACATCATATACGTTCAGAAATACTTTTTATTCAGAAGATTTTTTGATCTATTGAAAGTTTCGATTGATTTATACCCATTTCGTGTCTTATATATAGAAAGTAATAATAATTATGCTGTTGTTTATGCAAATGAGAGCTTTGTGATAAACTCGGGTATGCTAAAACCCTTTTTCTTGAGTTACTTCCCTTATTGAAGTATTTAACATCATATACGTTCAGAAATACTTTTTATTCAGAAGATTTTTTGATCTATTGAAAGTTTCGATTGATTTATACCCATTTCGTGTCTTATATATAGAAAGTAATAATAATTATGCTGTTGTTTATGCAAATGAGAGCTTTGTGATAAACTCGGGTATGCTAAAACCCTTTTTCTTGAGTTACTTCCCTTATTGAAGTATTTAACATCATATACGTTCAGAAATACTTTTTATTCAGAAGATTTTTTGATCTATTGAAAGTTTCGATTGATTTATACCCATTTCGTGTCTTATATATAGAAAGTAATAATAATTATGCTGTTGTTTATGCAAATGAGAGCTTTGTGATAAACTCGGGTATGCTAAAACCCTTTTTCTTGAGTTACTTCCCTTATTGCTAGTTTGTTTTTATTTTTGAGGGAAGTCTGTATCACTACAGGCCCATAACTGTACAGCGCAGTGGACGCTTCCATTCAATTGATCTGATATGTGTGTTTGTTGTTTGTGATGTCTGTATATTGTGTGTCTTGTCCGTGGGTTTGTCTTGTGTAATTGTGTCTTGTGCGGTCCTCCTGTACTTACTATTTAGTGCTTGGATCGCCCTAGACTTTTGCTCCGTAGACTGCCCAATGCCAACCGAATCACGCAAATGGCTGTGGCGTCCCAAAGAACTAGTAAGCGCTCCTATATTATTACAAAAATAGTTGAGCACAGAATATGCACACATTTGTCAGTTTATGAAGACATTTATAACGAACTAAGACCGGCACTTGTTTTCCATCTCTTCTGTTTCAGTCCCAAGTCTAATTCCTCTCTTCGTCCCCGTCTCATAAGTAATCTTCCTTTTTATCTGGACAATATATTGACCCGGTCCTTAAAACAACACACCTTCACCACTCCAATAACCTGCCTGTAAAAGAGCAAACCAATTTAAAAAAAATCTTGTATTAATTTGAGAATTAATCTGTATTTAATTGAACTTTATTTGTATTTACCTGCTTGTGACATCAATGTGTTCTGTGGACTCAAAATGACGTTTTTCATCATTCATCAATTACCATATTGAATTCTGTTTCTGACGTTGCACCGCTATACCCTAGGTTACTCTTTTCTTGGCTCAAATACTGAATCTTTGAATTCATTTAAGAATCATTATTAATCTCAATACTGGTTCACCTCTTTATGCTTTTTATGGTCAGGGATGTATTCTTGAAGACCACGTTTGTCTTCAAGAAGATAAAGAGCTAGGGGTCGTCATTATAATAGTTAAAAACTAGATAATGTAAAGAGAATTTGCTGAAAATTTCAGTCAAATTGATCTACTCTGAACCGAGAATTTAGCGAGTGAATTTTCGGTCTAGCCTCGATCATCATTACTAAAGTCTATAAGATAAAAAAAAACTTAGACTCGATTATCCAGTTCATGATTTAATCATGAATGAAAGTTGAGCAGCAAATCTGATTCTAATCCAGTAAATATCGCATGCAGGATAGCGATGACATCGAGAGTTGATTATGGTCTGGATAAGTTAATTAATGTCTAATTAATAATTTATATAAAGTTTCAGACCTAAAGCAAGACCTACAATAGGCAGATTTAGCTCTTTTATAATGTATGTTTAACTGTTTTCTTTGTATTTATTTGAACATTTATTTTTATTGTAGGTGGTATAGTTCAGTAAATAGTTCTGAACTAAGATAATTTCCTTGAACAATTGTAGATATATCTTTGAATTATTATTTGCTTTATTTATTTGGTTTACGTGTTTGTAATTGTAGGTGGTATGGCGACGGGTTGAAGAAGACGAGTATCTGACGGTTGGTAAAACCACGTGGAAGGCTGATGAAGCTTTGAGAATCAATCATGAATATAAAGATAATGAAGTAACGTCGTGGGATCTTAGAATAGTCAAGGTGCGACCTGATCATGCTGGGGTCTATGAATGTCAGATAACATCAACAACTGAATATCTCAGACATGTTGTTTTGAACGTTGTTGGTAAGTTATAGCTTCTTGGTTAGCAGGGCGCTGGTGCACGAACTGGGAGATCTTGGATTGGATCTCGGCAGAAGCAGTGTACGTTTTCGATATTTCCCAGTCTAGGGTCCCCAACTGGCCTGACAAAGAAAAGCGCCTGGTCTAGTCCCCTTGTATACCATTAGCAGTACATGGTTAGCATGGCGCTGGCGCACGAACTGGGAAATCTTGAATTGGATCCCGGTAGTAGCAGAGTACGTTCTTCGATATTTTCCAGTCTAGTGTCCCCATCTGGCTTGACAAAGAAAAGCGCCTGGTCTAGTCCACTTGTATACCATTGGCAGTACATTAAAAAAGGAAACTCCATAAGCCCCTTTGGTGCAGTAAAGTGGGACGTTAAATCTCGTTTATTTATTTTTGTTAATTAACACTGTAATTTAGGTAACAAACAGAAAGTATACTATTTCAAATCAGGGTCCTGTTTCTCGAAATCTTAACTAAAGATAAAATTCAAATTTTAGTAGATAGTTCAATTTTGATTGGCTAAGCACTAAAATCCATCTAATATTATCCAATCAAATTTACTAAAATTTGGATTTTATCTTAGTTAAAATTTCGTGAAACAGGCCCGGGATAATTATATTCATCTTACAAATGTGCTGACCCTGAAGGGAAGTCAAACACAATTTTGTACAAAGAGTTTCTTGGTGACGACCATATGTTTGTTTTAAATACAAAAATGAAATGAAATGAAATGAAATGGGGCTAATGAAGACGGGCATACGCCATACAGTGTGCTATGAGGGAAATTTTGCCCGGGCAGCGGCACTATCGCCTACTCTTATATCGAATCCCAACTGCCAAGGGATCTTTTACGTGCATTCCAATGTATACACGGGACCTCGGTTTTTTGTCTCATCCGAAGGACTAGACAGCTGTCCTTGTCCAGGCCCTCCGTCCTGATCACTGACAAGGGTGAACCACGCCGGAAAATCTGGATGAACTTTCTCGGCCAATACAGGGGTCGAACACCCGACCTCCAGGCTAGCGAGCCAGCGTCTTACCCACTTAGTCACGTGATCCCCCGTTTTAAATACAAGTTTCACTGTTACATGTAATAAAATGTGCAGGCTCTAGGGGTGCGAGAGGCAGGGATCCAAATGCACAAGGTGTGTACTTTAGATCATAAGGTCTGTCACTGAATCAAGCGGGTTGGTATCGATCCTAAGCTTGTACGTGACAAGGAGTATGGTCGCATGCCCAAGCTTCAGAGTATCGTCCACCGGATTTCACCCTCTGCTAAAGACCTCTACGCGCAAGCGAATTATCGAATTAAAAGTGGACAATGTTTGTAACTAACGTTACCCCCCTCTCACTCTCTCTCTCCCTCTTTCCATCCCCCCCCCCCTTCATTAGCCCAGTTGGGGCAAAAACAGCAGGCCGCTAAATATCCCTTGCATTTCATTTCATCTCTCGATATAAGCTATACACATATTCATCACAAAAAGAATACTTTTGGTTGAACAGTCATAATTAAAGGCCTGTACACACAAAAGATTGAAACGTCTGAATTAATAAAAAAAAACATTTTTATATACCATGTGGCTCAGTGGGTGAAAGTTGGCTCATCGATACTTTAAGGAGTGTTTTATTTTGTTGAAAGATATCACAATTGAATAATACATAACGTTTTCTGCTCTGACCTATTTACGTTAGAAACACTAGAAATTGTACCCAATAAACTTTTACTACTAACGGATCGATGAACTTGAGAGATTATTTCAAAAACTCGCTTTATTATAAATTCTATTTTTTAAAAATAAATTTCTAAGATATCAAAAGTAACAAAGAAGGAATGTTTCAATTATAAATGATATTTTATTTGTTTTTACTTACAGGGCCACCTATACAGGAAGCAGGTACGTCCACTAATATTGATTTTATTTATAAGTTAGCTTTTGTTTTTATAGAAAGGCATATTCTAGTAGTCACTGACAATTACAACCCACGATGCCCTCACTATTCCCCTTATAGGAAACGTAGAAGCAGAAGAACTCCCCCCTCCCATTATACGATAAAACGAGAAAACGAAATGTAGATTGTATAAAGGTATACTATTTAAAATAAAAGAGTTTATCATTACATAAAACTGAGATAATTTTAATTACCAACTACAAGGAAGATTCTATAATGGTAAATCCACTTTAATTACCAACTAAAATATAGATTATGTAATGGTAAACCCACTTTAATTACCAACTAAAAGATAAATTATGTAATGGTAAATCCACTTTAATTACCAACTAAAAGATAGATTATGTAATGGTAAATCCACTTTAATTACCAACTAAAAGATAGATTAAATAATGGCAAATCCACTTTAATTACCAACTAAAAGATAGATTATATAATGGTAAATCCACTTTAATTACCAACTAAAAGATAGATTATGTAATGGTAAATCCACTTTAATTACCAACTAAAAGATAGATTATGTAATGACAAACTCTCTTTGACCAACTAACAGATAGTTTATATAAAGGTAAACCCCTTTAATTTCCAATCAAAAGATTGATTATGTAATGGTACGTTCGCTTTAATTGCCAACCAAAAGGTACATTCTATAATGGCAAACTCCCTTTATATTTAATTACCAACCAAAAGGAAGATTCGGTAATCTCAAACTCAGTTTGATCACCCAAAAGATAGATTATATAATGGTAAACTCCCTTTAATTACCAACCAAACATTTGATTCTGTAATAGCAACTCCCTTTAAGTCCGAACAAAATGGTAGATTAAGAAATGGAAAAAACCCATTTAATTACCAACAAATAGATAGATTATGTAATGGTACGCTCCTTTTAATTACCAACCAAGGGATATATTATGTAATGGTACACTCCCTTTAATTGCCAACCATAATGGTAGGAATGTAATTGCAAACTTCCCCGAATTACCAACCAATTGGTAGATTATGTAAAGGTAACCCCTTTAATGGTAAATTCCCTTTAATTACCCCACAAAAGGAATCTTCTATAAGGGTCAACCCCCTTTAATTACCAATCTGTAATCGTAAACTCCCTTTACCTCCCAAACAAAGGTTAGATAATATAATCTCCCCTTACTTTCCAAACAAAGGTTCGATTATAGATTGGCAAACTCTCTTTAAATTCCCAACCAAATGTTACACAGTGCATATTCGCCGTGAACTTTATTTTAAAGAATGTCTCTAATGCTGTTATAAACTATGTTGGATATTTTTCTTTAAACTATTTTCGGCTGAAGACAAAGAGATAACAACCACACAATTGAAATGAGATTTCATACTTGTATACAAATTGATAAGGATTGATAATATATATTGCTATATATTGAACGGGAATGAAATTAAATGTGTCAAATATTGAAGAAAACGTCTAGATCTATGCATCTAAGAGGGTTTCCAGGTTCTCTATCGATTCCAAGACTCCAAGTGCTCTTCTTCCGATCTATATACAGTCTCCCACTGTCGTTACAGTTATATAAATTTGTCTAATTCGATAAAACCAACAATAGTGTGGATTATGTGTGCTTTGCAAGTGCTTTAATATAATATCATGAATATATTGAATAAACTCAAGATATCTGTAAAGAGTTAAAGTGACCGTAGAATAAGACCCTACATATAGAGTTATTCTTTTGTACTTTAATGCACCAGGAAGCCACTTAGATGGAACGAGAACATAGATTACCTTTGATTTTATAAATGATGATTTATAGCTAACAGGAAAGAAATGGACAGAAGTCGGATTAACCATCCTACGATTCTGCACTAAGCTGGCTAATCAACAACGCGTGCATGGCAAAGGCTGATCCCTTCCCGGTAGTGACTTAAATTGTTCTTCGTTGTTTATTAGACATTATTAAAAGATTGTTTTATATAGTTTTGGTAAAAAAATAAGGCGACCAAGGAAAGTCTTCAATTGTATTCGTATTTAAGCTTAATCTACTAAGGTTGACAGCATATGATATAGAAAAGTACCTACTGTACAGGTTCTAAACAAAGAGAAAGAGAGAGGGGGGGGGGGGGTAACGTTCACTCGATACAAACTAGGTAATTTCGGGACTAACACATGGTTCAATTTTATTTCAATAATTAGCTTGCGCGTAGGTGTCTTTAGCATTGGGAGGAAACCGGAGGACCCGGAGAAAACCCGCGAGGTTGGACAGGCGACCATACTCCTTGTCAAGTACAACCGGGGAATTGAAACCACGCCAGTTGACTTAATGACAGACCTTATGATACAGCGCGCACGTGCTAACCATTCGACCCCACCCCCTCAAAACAAATAAACTCTCTCTTGAATACATATATACGGAACCTCTAGAATTAAAACATTTTCTAAAATAATAAAAATGTCTAACTATTGTCAAATTAGCCAGGGAATAATTTGATGAATAACATCTCGACTTGTATCCGCCATTATATAAATAATGTGTCCAATGTACTCTAGTGAACTTTTGTCTGTCAAATTAAATTCCAATAGCCTACGTTCTTCAATACTCTATTTAATCGTATGACCAAATTAATGTAGGTTGTCAAATTAAAATGGTGGATACAAAACGAGATGCTTTTTAAATCATAAATGAAGTATGTAGTTACGTCCATAATAATCAAGTATGGAGAGAGAGAGAGAGAGAGAGAGAGAGAGAGAGAGGGGGTGTTAACGTCCACTCGACACAAACTAGGTCATTTCGGGACTAACACATAGTTCAATTTTATTTCAATAATTCTCTTGCACGTAGGGGTCTTTAGCGATGGGAGGAAACCGGAGAAAACCCACGAGGTTCGACAGGCGACCCTAATCCTTGTCACATACAACCGGGGAATCAAGTAAAGAAAGAAGACACCTGCCACTAGCAATGCCAAGTACAAATAATTTAGATATTGCCAGGTAGAAATACTCTAAAAAAAGATACTTTTCATATAAATTTAATACAAAAATCTTACGACAACTCAAGTCCATAATAATCGAAACGGGAAACTAAACACCTGTCAGGTATAAAGTTAGGTTTTGTCAGGTAAAAATCATCTGGTGCTTGTCAATTGACTTATAATTGCATTCTTAGCTGGGGTTATATTTTACAGATAAAGTTGCTCAAATGTAGCTTTGATGTGTTTTTTGTAAGGTATTTAAACAAATTAACACAAAAATAGCGTAAATAATGCTGATTTATGTGTTTATCCTGCATAATTACAAATGACTAAAGCCCAGGGAATTTGTTTCATTGAAAACATCGTAATTTATATTTTTTTTAAAATTGAAATTGTGGATTAACTATACATAACAAAAACCTAGCCATTGACATTGACAGATGGAAATACGAATCCAAAATAAAATTTATTTTCGATTAGTAGAATTATGAGGTTTTTCCATATCATCGGCGTAATATGTTTAATACACGTCCGACAGAGAATTAAATATGTCAAGTACAGCTTTAGTAGTGCCTGACATTCTGTCAGATACAACACAGATTTCCAAGTTTGACAAAAAAAACCAAAAAAAAACCCTTTACGGAAAACGATTCTAAAATTACAAAAAGTCAATAGTGTTAGCTATGTTAAATTCTAAAATGAAAACTATTCCGAGACCATCATGTTCTTGGAAACGAATGAAATAGAGAGAGAGAGAGAGAGAGAGAGAGAGAGAAATGGGGTTTAACGTCCACTCGACACAAACTAGGTCATCTCGGGACTAACACATGGTTTAATTTTATTTCAATAATTCGCTTGCGCGTAGGGGTCTTTAGCAGTGGGAGGAAACCGGAGGACCCGGAGAAAACCCACGAGGTTGGACAGGCGACCCTACTCTTTGCCACGTACAACCGGGGATTCGAAACCACGCCAGTTGACTCAATGACAGACTTTATGGTACAGCGCGCACGTGCTAACCATTCAGCCACCCAACCCCCCTCGAAATGAAATAGGGTTTAACACAACACCAACCGGACTGATTGCAATTTTAAAATAAGTTCCCGACTTCGGTTTCACTATGGTCTCGGGGACCAGTGGAATGAGAAGACTTGATGAAAGAAGCTAAACATATCCCACATGGCAACGCGGACGTAATTAAACAAACGATCCCCAAACGACAAAACGGAAGATACTTGTACACTGGCCTAACCAGGCGCAAACGTCGATTCCTCTATGATCTCGAGTGCCGATGAAATTAGAAGACTCGATGAGCAAAGCAAACTATATGAACGTAAATGAACATGACTGATCCACAAACGACAAAAACAGATATACCCGTGGTCGTTAGACTTATCACACCAGGGGGGTTGGATGGCCGAATGGTTAGCACGTGCGCGCTATATCATAAGGCCTGTCATTGAGTCAACTGACGTGGTTTCGAATCCCCGGTTGTAGGTGACAAGGAGTAGGGTCGCCTGTTCAACCTCGTGGGTTTTCTCCGGGTCCTCCGGTTTCCTCCCACTGCTAAAGATCCTTACGCGCAAGCGAATTATTGAAATAAAATAAAACCATATGTTAGTCCCGAGATGACATAGTTTGTGTCGAGTGGACGTTAAACCCCATCTCTCTCTCTCTCTCTCTCTCTCTCTCTCTCCCTCTCTCTCTCTCTCTTATCACACCACGCATTACATGTCCATTGGCCCATCAAGCTATTCTGAAGAACGCACGTGCCACAACGGCAGTTTTTGGAGGCCATTTGCAAACTCTGTATATAATTGTAGTAAATAAATGGGGACCCCTATTTATATCGATTCAGTGCCAGGGTCACGTGTTTGCTTCCTTAGCAATCAGCCATATTTTTAAATAAAAGCCCACAATGTCGTTCGTGCTAATACCACGGTAAATGACGGAAATGGATTGGTTTAGACCTGTGGTGGAGTAAAAAGCACGCTGCGATTTTTTT